AATGTCTTCCTTCCATACTGTCTCACAACAGAGCTTATACATACATTCTAAAGCCCAGGTGTGTATGACCTAGGAGGGGAGGGAGAGGAGGAGGAAGAAGAGAAAAGGCAAAGGAGCATATTAACTCAATTTGCAGTCCAACACAAAAAAAGGGGGGGAAATTCTAAAATAAATAATCCAAACACAGTTTTTGCATTTTTTTTAAATTAATTTTTCATTTTTTAAAATAAAATAACCAAAAAAGTGTAAAGTTACAAAAATGTCATTGTAGTATAATATATTAAACTGTGGGGGGAAAAAAGGAAAAAAGACACTTCACAATCTTAAGATTAATATGGAAGATCATAATTTAAACATAAAAGAATATATTCTATGGATTCATCATCCCGATAAATATGAACAAAATTAACAAAAAGCATAGGTTTCGGCAATAAATACGTTTTGATAAGTTAAATAAGCTTTTTTTATATTGTTGTGCAGTGACAAGCAAAATTTGCTCTCCAATTTCTGAAAAGTTATACAAAATTAAAAACCCAGAAAAAAAATAATAAAAAGCTTGGCGTGAGTGCTCTAAGATAGATCTAATGTACTCTAGAGCAAAACCATTAAAGCTATGTCTACTGGAACTTGGAATACACGGAACTTGCGTGTGTGGAATGAATTCCATTTGCCCACCCCCTCTAGTTTTATTTATTGTTTGTAAAGATGTCACATGTATACATGGGGAACTTTTAGCACCAAAATCAAGTCTTTCATAGTCCATCTGGCTTTTTTTCCCCCAATCACAAGTCCCACTCATGTTACAATCTTTGTCCATCCTCAGCTTTTCTTCCTGCAGACCTGAGCAGGCCCCAGGCAAGATTAGTCTTTAAAGGGGAAAAGGGTTGGATGTTAACCGCTGTCCACATGCCCTAAGTCTACCAGAAACTGGCCAATAGGAAGGGAGGGGAGAAGGAACAATGCATTATTGTGGCCAGTGGAGGGAGCAGTTGGTTCTGGATATTCCCTGCACATCTGGAAGTGCACAGAGCTTTAAAGGAGGCTGCTGGTGCCCTCTGCAGCCAGAGAGGTAATACAGTCACAGTGAAAATGTTCAAAGGCACTAATTTTGTAAACGGTTATTGCTTTTTATTGTAATTTGGCACTTAGGTCTAAGCCAGTGAGTTGGCTACAGGCAAGTGGACAGCCTTTATGTTAACATCTAACCCTTAGATTGGGGGGCAATAAGGAGGGGGATTCAGCTTAACATTGTAATAAAGGTGGGAGGAGGGCAAGAGGAAACCCCAGTTTAGTCATCAGAGATGGAGAGTCTGCTGAAGATGGGAAGACGTCTCGAGTTATCCAGGATGGGTGAATCTGAGCCACTGTGGCTGCTGCTGGAGCTGCTCAGATAGCCTTCCTGATCAGAGAGGGAGTCCTGAGGACTGGGGGGTGAGTCAAACATGTTGGGGGACTCAGACATGGGCCTGAAGAGGAAAGCAGTGGGTGAACCCCCACTGGTCACCTGCACCCCTATGCTGGGGGCAAAGAGAGTGGCCAGCTCCTGGCTGGAGAAGGTGAAGGGATTGCTGGCACAATCTGGCAATGTGGGCGAGCCCAGAAGGTCATCAGCGCTCAGCATGGGTGGTGGGGTGACTGAGGTGGGGCTGTCCAGCAGCCCATTGGCAGTGACACTGGGGAAGCCAGCAAAGCTGAAGCTGTGTTGGAGGCGGGGTCTGTCGGCGATGGTGGGGTCCCGGCCCCCAGCCACAGCACGGCGCTCCTCAGCATTGTGGATGAAGTGACAACGAGGCCCATAAGGGCAGAAACCGATGGTGTGGAAAGTGCGACACAGCTCCGTCTTGTACTTGGGGTGGCGGGTTAGGCTCCGCAGCTCATGGATGCCGTGGGCAAACTGGCACTTGTCACCGTATTTGCAGGCACCGTTCTCCTCGAAGGGGCGGCACAGCTCTGTCTTGTAGCGGCTCGAGTTGATTTGTCCCCCGGGCTGCTTCTGCTGCAGCAGGCGCTCGCCACCTTCGGAGAAGGAGCGGTCCCGAAAACGGCTTTCCCTGGGACCCAGCACAGGGGTCGGCTCCCCCTTGAGGCTGCTTAGGAGCTGGTTCTGGTGAAACTTGGAGTTGGGCAAGGTGACAGAGTGCCTCCTGGGGAAACCCCCGCCAGCTGGGGTGCCCACTGCCTTCCTATCCAACAGACACCCTCCAACACCTGAAGGGCTGTAGTTCAACATCTTGTTACTCTGTGGAGAGAAAAACAAGAGACAGTTAGTCACCCAGCCTGCTCCAGCTCCCTCCTGCAGCCTATTCCCAATGCAACTCATCAGTCAACAAGGTGACCACATCCAGCCCACCATATCAAACCTAGCCTTTATCTTCACCAGCCCCATCTCTCTGCAAAATAACCCTGCTTCTAATATCCCACCTCATAGGACAGCAAATCATCCTGTTACAGGGCATCCATTTCTCCAGGCAATGACCAGGTGCCCCACCTACCCACACAGTGACCCTGCAATACATATAACCTCCCCCGCCAGAGGCAATAACTTGGGTGCCCCACCTACCCACACCTAGTGCTGCCTGCAAGAGGCAAACCCACTATTCTTCTTTCCAGAGTTACACAGTCCTCCCCTGCCGCAAGCAACTGCTCACCCCGCTCCACCTGCAGTCCCACAGCCACATCTCCCCCAGGTTCAGGACCCCTTCCAGACCCAAGAGCCAGTACTTCCTGTCATCTCTCTCCTCTTTTGAATTATTCCACCCTGTTCACAGACCCCTCTAGTGTCTGGGACTATTGTCAAAGCCTTTTGAGAATTGTAGATTTTCTGCACTACAGAAAAGTACAGAAGCATTATGTGGGACAGTCCTGCTTGAGGGACAGGGCGTATGTGTGAGACAAATGGGTGGGGGCATGAGACTTTTTAGAAATGCACTAATTACTGATCTAAATTAATCCCATTTCTCTTGCTCCTCCAGCACAGCAATAGCATTTCATCTGATCCAGACCAGTCTTCACCCCTAACCACAAGAGGATTCCTTTGCAATTAGCCTTTGGGCTGCAAGGAAAGTCTGGAAGGGATCAGGAACCAGTTACTTCATCTGCAAACTCAGTTTTAAATATTAAAAATGCTCTTTTGGGGAGAAAAGTTACACAGGTTTGCTACAGTTACTTGGAAAAGCGGAGCTTTTTTAAAGCTTTTCACTTGTCCAGATTAATTTTTTTTTTTAAAAGGGGAGGCACAGCTCTTGTTCACATTCATTGAAAATGACACTCCTAGCCCTGTTTTAGTAGTGCAGCTTCATTGTCAACTCTTAAGTAAAGAGGCAAAACTGAGTCAGTATGATTTGTAATCATTCTACACTGATCATTTCAAAACATGGAAAAAAATCTAAGGAGTAGGAGGAAAAGTACTTTCTCGACTATCAGTTTATTGAGGGTAGACAACTCTGCTTTTGTTTCCCTTTTAAAACCAGGTCTGTTATAAATTAAGAAAAAGTGTCTTTAGACAGAATTTTGCTAAACAAAGGATAAATCCACGGGGGGTGGGAGGGAACAAAGCTGATCTGAAGGGGAGGAGGGAAAATAAGAAAAGTAAAACTGCATTGAGTGAATGGAAGCAGCTGTGAGTGCAGCACACTGGCCTGCAAAGGTTATTAAAGGAACCTCATCACCAGATCGTTTTGCCCCCAAAGTAAATTTGCAGCTGTAGGAGCAGAAGCAGAACTAACTTGGAAAAATCATAGCAACAAGACCAGGCGTGTTACAGCAGCCTAAAACTTAAGCAATTAAAAGTGGCCGAGCAGCAACTCGGAAGAAAAAGCTTTCTAACACGTTAAGATTCCTTCTACCAACTCCCCATGTCAAACAGCTCTATGAAGCCAGAGGTAGCTTTGACACACGCATATGCACACACACAAAAGGAAGTTTTACATTTCCAATACTTTTAGAATCATCTCAGTTCAAAAGCACAGAACTCAGAGAGAAGGGAAACGTCCTTAACAAGTTTAACAAAACTACTTGGATTCTTGGGATTTCATACCCGAAATCGTTAAACACACACATCTTCGCAAAATGCAGCGATTAACACATTAGAAAAAATTCCCTCCAGGAGGTCTGGTTAGGGGGAGAAAGAGGAGACCGTGAAAAAGGGAACAACTCACAAACAGTTTGGCCACATTAACGAGTTCTCTTTACAATTTCATTGAGCTCCAGAAGACTATTTGCAGAAAAGAAAAGAAAAAACAAAAACAAAACAAACCACAGCCCCGGAAAGGCACTCAAAACATTTAGCAAGTTTGCTTAGTCCTTCCTAGGGGCAAGGAAAGGCAGGAAAGCCAGCCCGACGGACAGGAAAGAGGTGAAACAAACCAGCCACAATCAGCTAATGAGGGAGAAGACCAGAATAATTTTACGGCAAGCAGCAACTGACTTACGATCGAGGCAACACAACCTCCCCTCGCAGCACGAGGCGAGCGCCAGGGAGGGCTGGCGACAAAGTTTAGTCCAAACAGACACCGAACTTTAGTTAAAGAAAAAAAAAAGCTGCAGTCCCTAACGCTACACGGGCAGAGGGGGCCCATCAGCCCCGAGCGCGCCGCCCAGGCGAGCCCCTTTACCTTGCACAAAACTTCGCTCAGGTCGAAGATGGTCGGGGACACCAGAGCCGTGGACATGTTGGGCGATCGCAGGGGGGCAGGAGGGCGGCAGAGCAGCACTAGCCCGGCGCAAGGGATCGCAGTGTGGGAAGTAAGGCACAGCCTCCAGCGCCCTGCTCCGAGTCCTTCCCCCCTGCTCTGCCGCCACGCCTCGCTCTGCCTCCGGCCGGCCGCTCGCTTTCCCCCGCCGCTTTGCCTAAACTCAATTTATAAAGTTTGCAAGCTCCCAGCCCGGCCCGGGGAGGAGCTCGCGGCCCATTGCCAGCCGGGGAAGGAGGAGGAGGAGGCAGATGATTGACAGCGCGGTTGACTCACCCCGCCGGTCGGGCCCGAGAAAACTTTCAAGAGGAAGGGGGGGGGCAAAGCCCGTTCGGAGCCTGCGCTGGGCTCCTGGTACGAGGAGGAAAGTTTTTCAAAGCTCCCCTCCCCCTCCCCGACGTGCATGTACAACTTGGTTGTGATTAGAAGGCGGGGGAAGGGCCCGCGCTCCTTTGTGAGTGCTGGAATTATGCAATGGGTGGTGACATCATTTGCTGCACCCACTTTGGGCTACTGCCCCCCCCTCCCCCAGCTCAGCCTGCACTGAACTTTTGCAAAACGGCCCGGGCGGGAGCTGTGTCTTTGCAGCAGGCTCCGCGAGTGCCCAGATCCCCCGCCCCCCAGGTAGTTTCCCCGCTTTCTTTCTCGTGTGCAGGAAAGAAACGGCAACTTTAGCCTTTTGTAAAGGCAGGCAGGGTGTGCGCGCAAGAGTAGATGCGTAGTTGTGGTCGGGTTCGGGGTAGCAGACGAACAAAACAAAGCTGATCTTTGCAAGACTCATCTTCCTTTCTCCCAGCTGTAATTACCGTGAAACTAAAGAGGAAGGGCTGTTTGTGTTTGTTTGCAGGATATTGATTCTGTGAGCTAGGTAGTAACGTTTACTTTTTTCGAGTGAAGCTCTTTCCTCTCTGCTGGACACCAGTTGCATGCTTATGTGTTGGAGGTTTCCCCTTCTCCCAAGGAGATATATTTCCCAAGTAAAGTAGGGACCCAGTTTTCAGCTGCTTAGCAACACATTGGCAGATTTTTATTTAAAATGGTCTCTGCGATCAGATAGCAAGTGATACTGACAAAAAACGAGGCCCTCTCGATTTCCCCTCTTTGCTTGATCGAAAGCTGGAGTACTATTTTGTGTGTTTGCACGGGGTGCGCTTTCTGCATGAGTACCCGTTGCATTCTGTGCTCCCCTCCCTTCCCCTCTTTGAATGTAACAGATGGTTTTTCAGTCCATCTAGGTTTCATTTCACTCTTGTTATTAATTTTTTTCTTCTTTTGGCGGGATGACAAAGGAGCGGGGCACATGGATTGAAACACGACAGACTGACTTTTAAAAAAACAACCCGTAAACTTGTTTATCTGCTCTTTGCATCAGGAAAGCAACACGTTTGCAAAAGCTGATCAGTTTCCCCTCTGAAGTTCTGAAATGGAAGACTAGCCTGAATGGAAATATTAAACTCTTAATTTCTTTCCTACATATTTCCATTTGTCCTTCATCACCTCCTCGTCCTTTTTACAGTAAGTGTCACCCACTCCAGCCCTCAGATGTTTATTCCACAACACTTTTAACTCCTCGATCTGTTATGAAACAATGTGTGTGTTAAGTGCATTTTCCATTGCAATATAATTAGGTCACCTAATTATAAGCACGTTTCTTTAGAAAGGCAAAATTAGAGTCTGAATCCCTCTGACTCTCCTCTTCCTGACAAATTTTAACAGGAACTTATTTAATCAATGTAAAATAAAACATCAGAGTGCACACAAACTTTAGACTTTACTTGTTTAAGCTTTAAGGGCTGCTGCTGAGCTGTGCATTGCATTTCACAACTATAAAAAGTTATTTCCAGTTTGGGCTGGCTTGGATTTGTCTACTCTGATTTAAATTGATTGAATCCATTTTTAACATTGCTGCTGTCTTTGCATTTTTGCAGGCTGACTGTCTTCAAGTTGATTCACATCTCCCACCCCCTTAGTCTTACGGCTTTTTTTCCAATTTTTATTGAAACCTGGCAGGCTCTGCTAAAGGAAATAACTCACATACATATTAATTTAAATCATTAAAATATGTGTTTAGTCCTTAAAGTGGTGTTTGCTAATTTCTGCCTTTGCCCTCCACTCTTCCCCTAGTCCCCAAAGGGCACTTTTTAGCAATTTGAAATAATAAAGCTGAAGGGCGCAGGGAGGAGTAAAGTTTCTTACCAAATAATCAGTTCCAGATTTTAGTACACAAAGAATTATGTATACTGATAGTGATGGAAGGAGGGGGGAGAGGTTTCTTTGTAACAAGCTTTATGTTTCAAGGCATCTAACCTGGGGCTCCTTAAATGTGAAACTTGTTGGGTCAAAACCTGCAGTCCTTACTCAGGCAACACTCTCACTGAAGTAAGTGGGAGTGAGAGTGTTGCCAGAGGAAAGACTGTGGGATTTGGCCCCCTGTTATTAATCCATCCAGACTGAGACTTGAACTATAAACTCCTCCTTAAAATGCATCTCACTATTGTACTGATGATTCTGCTTCCTCATGTAGCCCAGACTTCCAAGGAGAACTGAAACCCTCACTGCAGAGTCCAGAATGCAAGCCCAGCTAAAAGCACATTTAAAACTTAAAACAAATGTTCCCTGTTCCCACTTCCTCTTCTGTTTGCTTCAGTCTCAGGAACTGGGCTTTAAACTTGTCTTCCTGGCTTTCCCCTCCTTCGATATCCAAGAACAGCCAAAATAACAAATCGAGAGCAAACACCCACAGAGTCGATCCCTTCCAGATTTCTTTTTTTATTCTTTATTTAAGGCTAGAACACTAGTTCCGCTAATTTTCTTTCTCTTTCTAGATTCATTTTTGTTTTGTTTTTTGCCAGAATTGAGAAACAACCAGCAGAGAGAGCAGCTTGAACATGTTATTTTCTGCAGTTGTTTACTGGCTCTGTGGATGGTGCTTGTTCCCAGAGCTCTGAGCCTCTGTATAATTAAACTCTTTTTAATTGTTAGGTTGGAAACGTCATTCCAGGGACTTTCCAAGGGTTACCAAGTCCAAATGAGGAAGCCAGTACAGATAACTATTTCATGACTGACTTACTTGGAGCCTGGCTTTTTCATTGAATCTGGTCTCCTGTACTTTATACAGAGCAACTCCGATTACTCAAATATCTCAGGACGAGAGTGGAGGGTGTGCCACTGTGGGCACAATCCTGCATTCTTTGCACACCCAACCCACACGGATTTGAATGTGAGTTTTGGGTGCACAAGGAATGCAGGATTGGACTCTCTGTTACATGCCGCATATCAATCAACTCACCACATTGTATATATGTTATATTTAGTATTATTGCACATATTTTGTGCGTTATATCAAATGTATGCAATAGGATATACATATACTTACTATGGTAACTGTAGCTTTCTGTTTCAAAACTTCTGTGCATTTAGGGTCAAATGCTGGTTGCACTGATGTCCAGTGAGAATTTTGATGGAATCTGGATTTAGGCTGTAAGAGCCTGACTTTCAGCCACGAGGCATGTCTGGATTTGTGCGCAAGCAAATCCCTCCTTTGAGCACGTGCCTGGATAAATATAAGCCAGACTCGCCACATGCACACACACAATGGGAATTTGTTGTGCACCTATGCACGCCTCTCTGGGGGCTGAAAAATCAGATATGTCCATTCTCAAATATAACATTACAATCACATTTTTGCAGTGAGTTTAATTGTGACTTTTGGTTTCTAAAAAGAAAGAAAAAAACCACACACTTGAGTAAACACATGGGTGTCTTTATCTGAATGTCTCTCTCTCTGGGGTTCGCACTGTAGATCTTCAGTGCAGTGCACCTACTCTGCAGCTTAGATCATGCAAATGGACTTGGGGTCAGCAATCAGGCTGCCAAATTTGTTGAGCCTCTTCTGCAGCCATCTGTAGGCCTTTGTAGGTTCTGCTTCTGGAGTGCCATCACATAAGCCTTAATCAGCAGATTCAGGCACCGGCCAACCGGTTGACTGGGCCTCCCTTCACTCTTTATTGGCCAAGCTCCTCCAGTGACGTGGTTTTAAAAAGCGGGGGAGATGAGTCTTATCCAGTCCACATGCACATAGAGGAACATGGAAATTGCCAGAGTGGATCAGACCTATGGTCCCTATAGTCTAGTATCCTGTGTCTGCTAGTGGTCAGTACAAGATGCTTCGGAGGAAAGGATGAGAAACCCCGCATTAGGCAGATGTGGGATAATTACTCCCCCACCTCCTCCACTACGTCTCCTCCTAATAATCCCTAATAGTTAAAGTTGGAATCTCAAAGGCTCCACCAGGTCTGGTGGCCTCGCTCCTGTATTACCGTTATCTTTTCATGGGACGTGATGACATCAATGGGAGTTTTATCATTGTCTTCAAGGGGCGCAGCATATATTGCAAATGGCTGTTAATTTCCAATTTTGTGCACTTTTTTTCAGATTTCAATGCAGAGAACCACAGCTTGCAAAATTGGAATTGGACATGTACTGTCATATTGTTTGGGCCGGGGGCAAAGACTCCAGCACAGGGAACTTTAAACTGATCTCTAACTGGTCTCATAACCAGTGAACACTTTATTTCAACGTGCTTGCCTCAGATGGACCTGCAAGAATTGCATGCCTCAGTACATTGTTAAAAGATAGAGGAAAAATCCTTAGTCCTTACTCTGATTAACTCCCAGTGACTATAATGAGTGGTTAGCCTAAGGGCCAAGTTTAAACCAAATAAAGATTCAGGATTTGGAGCATGCAGAGTCTGTGATTTTCTAATTCTTACAACCATGGAGAGATTTGGTTTTCTGCAGAAATACCAAAATTACCAGAGGCACCTGTTCTCAGCTGAGACGGTTATAAACCCTTGAAAATAGGGGTTTCCTGTGTAATGAACGTGGCTTCTTAGTCGTAATGCTTTAGTGTACACTGAGTTTAAACAGGCAGAGTAATCTTCCTATATCTGTTTCAGCTGGTTCCCTGGAGTATTAATATCTTCTGGGGCACAGCGCTATTTTTGTGTGTTTTGGGGAATGGGTAAAGGTAGATTTCTTTTAGTCTCATGTACCCCCAATGTCTTTTTACACATTTTCCCCATTCCATGAACCAGTTCTTCAGCAGCCTTTACAAATATTGTGCATGAATAGGTGAGTCCAGGCATGCCTCTTTCTGTTTTTTCCCCTTATGCGCCCTTGAGGTTTGTTTGTTTTTTTAAAATCTGTTATTTTGGTCTTGTGTTCCCTATATGTAACACTTCTGTGTATCCATTGGGAGGTATGAATGGCCCAAGTTGGAAACCATTGCTTTTAGGAACACCCTCTGCCGGGCACTGCTGGCTCCTTGGGAAATGCCTAGCCTTCTGGTCAAAAGCAAAAAGGTATATTTGCAGCTGCTTGGTAAGAAAACAAACTCCCAAAGATACAGGAAAGTGCGTGGACGTGGTAGGAAGCGATGGGATTGCGATTCCTGGCAGCTTGGGTGTGTAAACATTTATAAAAGAGAGAGAGAGTGTGTGTGTGTGTGTACTTTGCGGTAGCAGGAAACCCAAGTCGCCAACAGCATTATTTTTGCAGGAGTTGGAAGCTCCAGTACCAGGCAAATATTAAAAGCTCTTAATCCTCCTGACTTTACACCTGTAAATAACATAAAGAACATCCAGCATGAGATAAATTACATGACATCTTTGCTAATCATTTCTGGGTTTTAGGATCTCCGTTTGCTAGTCACAAGAGGGTCTCATAGTTTCTTAGTAGCTCAGATACTTGAATCTATTTGGGCGGGGGGGGCCGGGAGGAGGAGAGGCAGGAGGTGAGGATAGAATTTGCTCTCTGCAGAAAAGATCAAAATTATTTGAATAACCTGTGACAAACTTAGCACTGGTGGCATTGACAAGATAGTGCAGTAGAAAATGCAGAAGTGTCATTTTGGCAGGCTATCGAGTAAGGAAACTTAATGGATATAAGTTATAATTTCCAGGAAATATTAATGCCATTAACGTATTTCCACATAACAGGACACTGAGCCTATACTTACGTTTGCTTTCTATGATTAATTTTCTTGTGGCCAATACATTGCCATGTTAAGTAGCTGTGAGGAGGGATCCAAACATGCTGGAGAGAGGGAAAAGCAGGCACTAACTGCACAGCAATGGAAAAACAGTGGGTGATACAAGAAAAGAGTTAAAATCTGTGTCTGGAGCCCCTGCTGCCCATCTGTGTAAAATAAATGTGCTCCAGATGTCATCTTGGCCTTACAGCTCTGCTCTTACTTTTCTACTGTTTTCAGCATACTTGCCTTCATTTTTTTCTGGCTTTGTGCCTTCTACTATACTGCCCCCTATAGGCCAGGTTCACCATTGTCTTGCATCCTGTTGTAGCTGTTTACATGAGTACAAAGTGGGTGTAGAAATCTTTACCATTCTGATTTGGTAGCAGTTTACATGCACTTTGCACTGGTGTACATAACTGCAGTGAATGAGGCTGTTTGTCTGTAATAGGCCGTGTAGCCTCATCTCGTAGCCACTCTCTCAGCTCTTCAAAACCTACATTTTCAAAACAATTCCTTCTTTCTTCTTTTTATTAATACCACCCACCCCATTGCTTGTACTTTTGTCCTGTGTCTTATTTTGTGTTTGTTCTGTCTAGCTTAGAGTGTAAACTCTTCAAGGGAGGGAGCAGGTCTTATCACTGTTTGCAAAATGCTAGCAAGTTAATTAGGCCATATAAATGTTTTTAATATTCATAACAACATGGAAAGTAGGCCAGTTTAGTAAAAGAAACAGTGCAACCATATGAAGGTGTGGGAACAATTTCTCCGATGCAGATTGATGTTGCACCATTGGTGAATTATGGCCTTAGAGCCAGCCTAGCTAGCCAGAGTTAGAGCACCCACACATAGGGGGAATCTAATGGCATAAAGCTGGCATAGTGACTCCTACACCACTATCCCCCACCACAGCCATCACAGCTTCCCTATGCCCCAGGAACTCCCAGCCGCACTATCTACTCTTGCCGTTGGCAGCCAGTATCAACTTTCAAGCTGCTGTAGGTTGTGTCTGAGAATTGGCCTGGCACACAAAAGAAGTCGTCCCCCCCCCACTTCGTTAGCTTTGCTCTGTGCTCACTGGCTGAAGCCGAGGATCTGGGCTGTGTTGCAGAGCGTAACAGCCACATTAGAAAAGGAAAAGCCATTTTAATAGTTTTAGCTTCAACCTAGCCTGATTGGAGCTACCTTTGTTTTGTTCAGTGCACAAAGGGCAGTCAAGGACTCTCAGATACATGACTTTTATTTTAGATCAATGGAAAATACAACAACCCAAGAAAGAACGACAGTAAAGTCGTTTATGAGAGAGAACAAGTGGCACCAGCTGCAAATCTGAACAGAAACTGCTCCCCAAAATGGAGGGCCTCCCAGAAACTTAAAGGTGCGGTACACAGAAGACAGCACAAATTCCAGACTTCTTTCCAAAATCTCACTCCAGATTTATAAACCCATGGATGTTGTTCTATACAAATCTAAATGATTTAGATTTGTATAGAACCTCCCATCCAGGAGGAATATAAAGCAATTCAGTCACTATGTGCCAATATCTGCTCAATTACATTGGTGCAATTCCAATTGTGTCTGACAAATTTTGACCCATTCAATTTTCCATGCTTGGTCTTTGCCGGAGGTTGAATGTGCTAATGTAATTTTTGCCAATGTTAAATATTTGTCTAGGTTTTTTGTTGTTATTTGTTTGAAACAACTCGAGTGCCTCCAGGGTTTGGGGTGAGATCTTGCTTCTTGGCAGGGATGTAGCACTGAGGTCAGGGTGCTGCCATTTTCTACTTGCTTGCAAATCCATCCAGATTTTGCCAATTTATAATCCTTTTGGGGGGAAATTGCATATCCATGATGGAACTTATTCTGAACTTGTTCCATAGTTTTCTGAACAGTCCCATTGCACTGCATATGCTTCTAAGCCTCAGTGAGGTGTTTGCACCAGCCAGTCAGCTTGCTTTCCTGCCCATCCCATCAAAATGCCTTTTAGCTTGGGGCAGGGTGCAGTGGGCAGGGAGCCAAGTTCAAGTCTGGTCTCTTCTGATGAACCTCATGCCTGTGCATTTTGATGCAGTATTAAAATACATGATCACATACTTTTCCCACAGGATGGCAAGTGTTAATTTATGCCATTTGGGGATTACTGGAGTGCACCATGCTCCAGCCATGTTTCTGACACACCTCCTACATCAGGAGCTGTAAGAGGACTTGCTACACTGGCTCCTCTGACCATTGGGTAGATACAGGGATTTTCCCTTCCCTTTGTATCACAGAAGTGGTTCAAAGCGATTAGAACTGGGGCAGATAACCAGGGGCGGCTCTAGGTTTTTTGCCGCCCCAAGCACGGCAGGCAGGCTGCCTTCGGCGGCATGCCTGTGGGAGGTCCGCAGGTCCCACGGCTTTGGCGTACCCGCCACCAAATTGCCGCTGAATCAACCGGACCGGTGGACCTCCCGCAGGCATGCCGCCGAAGGCTGCCTGACTGCTGCCCTCATAGGGACTGGCAGGGCACCCCCCCATGGCTTGCTGCCCCAGGCACGCGCTTGGAGTGCTGGTGCCTGGAGCCGCCGCTGCAGATAACAAAAGAGCCAATGGTAATCCCTCATCTGGAATACTGGGCCAGGTTAAGATTTACCACAAAGGATGTCAATTATTGCTAATTGTGGTGGTGGTTTTGTGATGTGACCCTCATCCACTGGGAGCCTGTTTGTTTTCATTACCAAAGAATGGTGACGAATGCAGATTAAATTGAACACATAAAACTTCATGAAACTCTGTGAACTGCTCTGTCCACATGGCTAGGTTGCTTCCAGCCTAACTTCCTGCATTCCCTGTTCCACTGGTATCCCATCAATAAAGGCCCCCCCACACCCAGAACATAGGCCTTCTAACTCCAGTTCCACTGATCATGATACAGTGCTTGAGATCCTCAACCCATTTCACTTAAGCCAATAAATAACCACCAGATGGTAATAAATTTCAGTCACTGGGGCTGGATTTGAACTGTCAGCCTGGACAGGCTCCAAATCACATTACTAGACTAAACTAAATATTTATTAAACTCCTGGGGGGCAGGGTCCATGTCTTACTATGTGTTTGCACATCACCTAGCCCAATGAGGTCCCAATCCTGCCCAGGGCCTTTGGGCATTGCTGCAGTACAAACCAAAAATTCTATTAGTAATGTATTAATCTGCAAGCCTTGATGAAATGCAGCTGGGAATTTTAAAAGAACTCGAGGGACATTGAGAAATAAGCACCGGTGAATCATGAGAGTCAGGAGAAGCTACTAATGTGTGGGAAAAGGCAAATGTGCTAACTATTCTCAAGCATATAATAAGGCACTATGTAATAATAATTATTGTTATGGTAATGAAGGCTGTGTGACTATTTGGGAGAAAGATGTCTAATAACTGACAAACAACGTGGCTTGATTTGTTTTGATCTGAGATTTAAACAAGGGTTACGTATGCAAGACAATATTACACAGGGCACAGAACCCTGGCATAACACCAACTATGTGCATGACAATTTGGTTTTATATAGGTCATGCCAAAGAAATAATAGTTTTCTTCAACATAATTACTGATTCATTAGGTATAGGGAATATAATGGAAAGAACCTGGGTTTCAGGGAGGCGTTTGATATAGTAAACTTATATATTTAGGCTTTGTCTACACTGCCACTTCACAGTGCTGCAACTTCCTCGCTCAG